ACCTTGCACAGGATGTTTAGGGAAAAAAAAATAAAAAAACACAGACTGAAGCTGAGCAGAGAGCCTTAGTCCTTGTGGGTGCCTCTAGAAGCAGCAGGAGGGTCAGATCCCTCCAGGGAATTGTGCCTGACTAACCTCCTTTTTCACTATGTGCAAGTGATGCAGCCCAGTACTTCTTCCTATATTTAGCCTTTGTAATATCACCTCATGTCCTCTCCATTTCCCAAAATGCCAGTAATATTCCCACAGTTCAGTCTGAGTTTGACTGAGTGGCCAGCACTTCCACAGTACTCACTGCCTACACAGTATTTTAGTAAAGACACTTATTATCCAACTCAATCAAAATTCATCAGCTACATCTGAAATTGTCAGGCTATGATTCTATGAAAAGAGCCCTACTGCTGACTGGATCGGTATGGCCTGAGACAAGGTCACACCACAGATAAATATAGTATGTGAGCAATTCTGTCAGCTTACTGATATATTCACCAACACCTTTGAAAAACAAAGCATTAATCCAAAAACCCAGTATCCTCCCCTATCCAGCCTCCTTCCCTCCAAAATGAGGAGACTGGAAAAAAACTACCCACTCTCCATGCTAATAATAACATAAACTTGTTATGTGTCTGCTTTAAAAACCCATCCTTCCTGTAAGTTCTCTTAAAACTTGTAGAAGATGCAAATTCTCTTAAATGACATAATTTTACAGGAAAAGCTTAAGTTCAGCTCATTTTTTTTTCCACATGCCCCTCATTCTCTATTAGTCCAGGAAATAATATTGCAAATATTAGCTTTTATGCACTTTTGTCCATGTTTGAAAATTGAATCCAACAGGCTTATTTATCTTAAAACAATCAGAAGAGGCAGGTAAAACTGTGTTGGAAGGCAGTGACTGTGAGATCTAGGAAACTATAGGCTCTTAGTTCATTCATTTATCCTTTTTTCTTGATTTTACAATCTAGAAAATGCAGGTTAGGACTTATGCTTTACTTTCTCTTACATTATAAATAAAAAAACAACACTCAGGGCATTTTATGAGTTCAAAGCGCTATTTTTGAGAATTACCAGTGAGCCTCTCAAAGTTACATACTAACTTCTTGGGCTTGTACTTGGTCAAAAGTCTCTAGTGTTTATTTTCAGTCCTTCATATGTTAGTGAGAACTCAAGGGAAGAGGTCAACTCAGGAAAAAGCTTGAAACTGCCCTGTAACTATACCTAAATTTAGAGCCATTGGAAAAGGACAGTTGGTTTGGACCCTAAAAAAAACAGTGAAGCCAGCTATCAATCAGCATCTCACATGAAGTTCAAAGACCTGTGTCACTTCTTCAGGTTTGTTTGTGGCTTCTTTTGTTTATTTTGGTTTTTTTTTAATATTTTAATAATAAAAATTAAATTATTAATGGCAGAGATTTTGTGTCATTATTATGCTTTTGATGAGACTGATACCCTTGCAGCAGAAGACAAGTTAAAACAAATAATAATAAAAAACCCCAACCCACCAGACCAAAAAAACCCCAAACCCTGGATGTCTGATAGTTGTGCAACAAAACCAAAAAAGTACCAACAAAATGTTCAAGTTCTACTTTTACTGCACCCCTTTTTGCCAATGTGTACCCATGGAAACTTCAATTACAAGACCATATGCAACTTTTCAAATATTCAACATAATAACATATTCAACAACATTTTTCCTAATTTTAGGTGTTTGTGTTTCAAATAATTTAAAACTGGTCTATTTCTTTTTCCCCAAATATTGCATTACCATAATTTACAAGGAAGATACAGAGTAAGGCATTTCACAAAAACATATTACCAAGCAATAGTAAACATTTTCCAGAAAACAGAAGCCAGCTATGCTTCTACCTCAATAAGCATCACAGTTAACTGCCTCACCTCCTACATGGCATGTCTGGAAGAGAACAGTGCCTATCCAAACAGCTTAATGCGTTAAACACTCAAATGCTTCAGCCCTTCAAGTGAACATAACATATGCTGTGCTGACCAACAGAAAAGAATTGTATATGGTTCAGTCCACAATCTGATTACACGTGAACCACCTCCCAAGAAGTGCTTGAAATTACATCCAAGATGATTAAAATTCATATCATAGAGAGGAAGGACCTAAATTTTAAAAGAAGAAGATAAAAAAAGTGAAGACTAAACTTCTGTCACCTCTGACTCCTATTAGAGTGAAATTAATGGAACTCCTCCAGAGGTTTCCCAAGAGTCACATGAGAAAGAGGGCCTGCTGCCTTAATAAAGGAAAAAAACAAAAACATATATGCATGTAGGAAAATGAAAAAGGATGTCAAGAAGGAAGTCTGCAATATACCTCAGGTATAGATGTGAAGCCTTGTTAAACAAACATGAAAACACTGAAAAATTAAGAGAAGGACTTGTTTTACTGAGATGAATAGGAATCCTACTACATTATTTACGAGGAATATGATTTTACCCTGCATGATCATGTAATTAAACTGTCAGCATGCAGACACCCAGGAGGACAGAGCTAGTGCTGAACACGGAATTAACATTGGTATTTCACAACTCTTGAATGATTTGTCATGTAACCCTAACATCCCCCAAATGCTGTCCTCCAACCAGAATTGCCTAGGGCTTTGTAAAATTGAATAGTGGCAAGGAGACAGTATTTCCTATTACAGCTCCATTTGCTTGAGTGTTTCCGAAGTCTTTTTATCTCACAGCCCTTAAAAGCTGGAGGAAGGTCCCTCCTTCCTGGATGTGCAGTTAGATTGGCACCCTGCAAAGCATCCTGAACATAAGGCAGCACAGGACCGGCCTCCCCAGAAGCAGAGCACTCTGCAGAGTCTGGTTGCTGCTTCCACTTTATTTGATGAGAAAAGTGAGTTATTAGAGCTTTTTGCTTGCTGCAGCTTCCTCACCAAGGGGGAAAAAAAAAAAAAAAAAATAAAAATAGAGGAAAAAATCCATCCTTCCTATCCAAATCTTGGTCTTCTCTGTCCCTACCTGCCTGCAAAGGATTTGAAACAAGAGCAACAATGTTTTTAAGAAGAGAAGAGGGGGAGAAAGGTGACTGCTGCTCACTTCGCTGGCACTTGTATCAGCGCTACCCATAATATGTTAAGACACAGAAAGAAATTCACTTCTTCACCTTTTTGCTCCCCTGTGTGGGAATGCAGCTTCGGTCATGATTGCGCCTCAGGAGCCACACAGTGAAAAGCCTCTACAATGAGAAGGTTAGGAACTGGGCACATCTTATCTTACAAGATGCTCAGCAAGGACTGTGTTTCCAGGAAGAAGGGCTTCTTTTTGTAAGTGAAAATTTTTATCTGCTTTTCCTACAAAATGGATTGCTGGTACAAATTCCTGAGCCAACAATTCGTACTGCTGATAGAAAAGCAGGCTGGGCACAGAATGTTTCAGGGGAAAAAGAAAAAAAAAGGTTGCGTTTTGGAAGATATCTGCTTGTGAATGCTAGGACTCTTGCAAAGGACGGGAAAGAGCAGACTGTGAAGCTAAAAATAACCACATGCATGCAAATATCATGTACTACAGCACTACCACAGCATTTTTGGCCATAATATAGCAATCGACTGAATATGAGAATTACTACAGATCAAAACTAGTCTTCACTCAAGTATTTCAAGATGCTTCTTTTCCAGGAGAGAAATTCAAATTTGCAAGCCACACTTCTTTTTTTACCAATACTAAAGAATGCCAACTAGGCCATTTCCAGAGCCACAAGAGAAACTCCAACCTGGGGACAAATTTGCCTAAAAGACAAACCCACAAGGCAACCAGCAGCTAATTGGCATCAGAATGGATACTGCTACATAATGTAAAACTTTACCAAAAGTTTCAAGACCACTGTAATGTCACCACAAGATGACATTTCTGATTCTAGCACACCTTTCTTAAGGGTTCAATTATGCAAAGTACCAGTCCCAATTCAGAAAAGCACCTAAACACAACGATAGCTGCAATCATGAAAGCAGTTCCCTATTTAACTTGATTATTCAGTTGGCATGATTAAATTCGAAGTGCTTAACTGCATTAACACAAACATCAAGGTTTTGTCTCAGTAGGATGAATTAAGTAAGCTGAAATTCATTGCACTGGTATATTTGAAGCACTGGATTTCAGATTACTTCATCTCTTTTTCTGTAAGCGTGCTGTTGTGCCAAAAGCTGTCACTCCCTTGTTTTCTATGCATTTGCTGTATTTTAATGAGAAACTCTATTTATTGATTCTGATATTAGCGAGAAAATGGGTTTTCCTTTCAATAAGATGATTACACATAAATGTTACAGCGAAACACAAGAGGGGGTTTTGTTTTGTGGGCTTTTTTTTTCCCCTGCATAATTGCTGAAGGCAGCGTATTACCCACTAGCACAAGGCAGTAAATGAGCTAAGTCCCGGATTCACAGCTGTGCTCAGTGTGCTCCATGTGCAGCGACGGGCACTCAGAAACAACCATTTGGGATGCCTTGATGTAAAAGGACTGGCTCTCTACTGGACCTGTGCCCATCACAGGCGAGGTAAAGCCACAAGGCTGTGCTGTGCACAGAGGACAGCGAGGCCCCCAAGGTGCCAATCTGCCAGCCAGGCAATGTCAAAGAAAAGCAGTAATGCAGACATGCCCTCCTTTTCACTCATCACACCCACAGATGCCTGATTCTTTCTCTCTTGCTTTCAGTGGTGCTGAGTTTTAGGGAGCAAACAACATAATACAGAACTTCTTTTCTGGGACTAGCTGTTAACTCTTAAAATAGAATAATCATCGTTGTGTTCATCTGTTTTAAAACCTAGTATAAGTAATAAATATTACTGCACTCTGTTAAACAAGCAGTACTAATATGTAGAGCTCTTAAGGAAAATTGCAATAGGAACCTTGCATTCTTACAAGAATGCAATGTGTTGCTGTTCTGGGCTGACAGAATTACAATTTTTAGATTGCATCATATAAACACATCAAAAAGCAAGCATCTGCACCCTCCAAATTTATTTAAATCCCCTACCTTTCCTACATAGAGTGGGTCTGTACCCATGTATTCTTCCAGCACAAAGAACTGATTCCACACCCAGCTCCGTTTGGTTCTCGTCCTCCCTGATTGAAAATAGCGCTTTGACCTGGACCTTGTGATCTCTGCTTGATTCATCCCAGAAAGACACAGGAAAAGAGCTAGTATCTGAAGAAAATGGCAAAACTCCACTTTGCCCAACTTCATCTTTTTTTTTTTTTTTTTTTTTCCTCGGTGAAAGAAAAAACCTTGACCAAAGCAGGCACAATTCCAGTTGTCTCAGTAGCTCTAGCCTCCGGCAGGGTGTCAGCTGGGAGTCCAGAGATAATAATCTGCAGAGTGGACGATTGGAAGATGTCACCACTGCTGAATAGCCTTCACCAAAGAAATGGTGTAATGGGTACCTATCCAGGAAAAAGACAAGAATGGTTGTCAGAATTTTAATTTTTTTTAGAGAATGCAAATTCTTTGCAGCTTTCACATCATGCACCGAAACTGTTTATTCATTACTTTTCTCCTCATCAACACCAATGAGTTTACATAAATCTCTCTGAGTTTATAGCAAGCTTCTTGGATGGCATTACTGATACAACTGTGTTTATAGCCATAAAGTTTTCTCCTAAATGTTCTCTTAATACACTGGGGTTTTTTTCCCCAGGATAAATGCTAAAATTTTTCCTCTTTAAAATAATCAGAGTAAGTGTAGTTATTTACAGTCTTTTGGTTTGATATTTTCTCTTCTGTCTGCTATGGTCTGCTTTACTTGCCATTACTATGATATAATTACAAACCAGCTAAAGGCAGCAAATTGTAATAGCGGCAGGGATAGATCCTAGATTAACTCTCTCCCATATAACTCAAAAGTAAAATGAAGGAGCATAAGATGAATCAGAACAATTTGATTGATTCTTAGTCACAGTACACCAGATGCTATGATTTGTTCTGAACTGAACCTGACCTGGTAAAAAGGCCTGAGTCTCCCCACTCAATTTCACTACATTCCTAAAGCAAATGTCAGGCACTGTAAGAAACATGTTAGACTACTTTATATATTTATACAGAAATATGCCCAGAAAGAACAGAAGATAATGTCATTTTGTATTTTCAATGAAACCTTGATTTAATTACAAATAATTTTCCAGAACTAACAAATGTAAATCAGTCTTTATTTTAAAATTTAATAATTTAATAACTCATAGGACTTATTAACTTTTTTAAGAAAAACAAACTTCAGTACTTAAGACTCTTTTCTGCCTTTTATGACTGTGAGCCTACTCTAACCATATAAAAATGTATACTTAGTATAATGTTTTTAAAAGTATAAATTCTGTCAGTCAGAACCAAATGTAGCTTTGCCTTTTAGAAGAATCACCAGATAAGCAAAGCCATCTCTTAAATAGACATCCTCCTTGTCCAAGTGAGCAATAAGGGAGACAAGAAGCATTTACGAAGTGCCAAACATGAAGTGGAAATAAGGATGAAATTAAAATAGATAACGACATTAATTTGGAGTGAACTGCTGCTACTTAGGAAGCCACAGAAGAAAGAAGATTTCATCCTTTATACTTTTAATTAATCTAAAAAGGCTAGACATTAAATCACATACACACTAAATACTCTGGACTGATTATCATAGTCCTACCCATTACTACTAAAACTGAGTGAAATGTGATATCCACTATCTGTTTTCAGTATGTCAGGCTCTTTCAGCCTATGCATTGTGCTGCCAAAGGTACCTAGAGGGCAGAAACATGAAACAAATAAAAAGCTCTTCTGATTACAGACTGTATTTAAAGCCTTTTTATTGTAATCCCTTCTGTGGTACTGCCCTGCACCAGAAAGGCTTTGCTTAGAGGCTGGTGGGATAAACCACAAACCCACTGAGCATGTTTGCTAAGCAGCAGCAATTTTAAAGCTTCCAAATAGGAAAATCCAGTGTCTCCCTACAGGCAAAAATGAAAGGAATAGGCAAGCCTTACCTAAAGACCCTAATTTTGAAAACATGATGCTACAGTTATAAAAAACATCATTCAACATGGACCAAAATTCTTGTCACAGCAGGATTAACAAGCAGGTGTCATCCTCGTTAGAAGAGCCTAGTTTGAAATGATTAATCCTAACTAGTCATAACTCAGTTTTGATCTGGCCCTTTGGGTAAATCATGACCATATGACAGTAATTACTGAGAGGCCTGCCAATGAGTGTTAAGGAAGTAGCTGTGCTTTCTCTATGATATGTTCACTTCCTACTGCTCTGCTCAGCTACGGTAACTGTTGTTTGTAGTAGAGGCTGTTTATGTATCCTTGATTTCCCCTCTCTGTGTCTAAGTTGCATCATGTTAAAGACATCTGATATTGATAAACTGTCAGTTTATTTCAAAGAGGCAGCAGATTGTTATTTAACAGAGATAAAAATACAAAATGGATTTTCTTAAGAAATGTCAGTAAAACATTTACAATATGTTAGAGTCTTTTCACTAAGCAGTTTGAAATGTCTTGTTCTTGCTCAGAACAGACATTTCAAACCTAGAATTGCTCTAACCTTTATCTCGAACAGTGTTCTCTTATATCCTTTCTTTTACACCTGCAGAAAAGTATGAAAGCCACCATATGGAGTGCCATGGTCCCCAGCCACACACCACAGCACAGAATTGAAAAACGCACCCAAAATACCAACTGAAAAACAGTCCATATGCTAGACAGCACAATCTGATGAAAAGCAGAATACTCACACCTCCTGCAAAAAAAAAACAAAAACGTTGTTGTGGTTTACTCATTCTCAAATACTTTCACCACACAGACTCCAAAATTTCAATTATTTTTATTCATCTGTGTGGCAGCACTTTCTGCTCTGAAACACTCTTCCCTCTCTTTTTTCTCTTCTTCAGGATAAGTCTTCCTATTCCTCTTAAAACTCTTTTGTTTAGGTTTTTATTTATAGTCCTTCCAGCACACTGCCTTTTATATGTGATCCCTCCAAAAGTAGAAGTCTCTTGTACCTAAAAATATTTTCGGTTTTGGGAAGAATTCTTTATTAAATTGCATTTCATTACCTTTCTTACTGAGATAGATGGCTGGATAGATAGATAGATAGATAGATAGATAGATAGATAGATAGATAGACAGATAGATAGACATTTTATACAGATTTTTTTGATTAATTTTGTCCAAGCATAACTAGCAGTTCAATATCACCTGTTCTATGATGTCCATAAGTATCAAGTCCGCAAGACCACATAAGCAACGTCACAGTATTCATAAAACTGAAAACTAGGAGGTAGTGTTGGTGGGTTTTTCTTCATTAAGTCACAGCTCGAGTGTTCAGGATTGCACTTGCAGCAGGGGATAAAGCTAACACTGACAATGACAGAGGGTATTCAGTGCTCTGATTCCAGTATCTTCACTGTCATCTGTGTTTACTGACTTGAGTGTGATGGCAAAACTGACCTGCAACCACTTTGTACAGTTTGTTTAAAGATGCTGTTTTATGAAATGCACAAACAAGATTCAGAATATACAAAACTGAGAAATATTTACATTTTTGATATCATTAACTATCCTAGAATAAAAGTATACCTTTACATCTTGTTTCTGATCTCCCAAATGCTATTCCCCTCCCCAAATATGGGTAAACCAAATTTTATCTCCTCATTCACACTTTGCCAACCTAAAAAGTAACTTAGGCCTTTAAAAATAAAATTGTCTGCTAGTGTATTTAAGGCATTAAGCTCTAGCTTTCACATCTAAGCTTGTTTTCCCTATTTGCTTTACATGTAGCCCTGGCAATCACAAATATGAAAAACACAAAATAATAGAACTGGTGTGTAATTGGGAGAGTATGTTATGTGATCTGGACAGTGCAGGTAGCATGTCTCAACTAAGCAGTAACATGATGTCCAACTGAACAGCTGTAAGAATGAAAAAAAATCCCCACAAAACCCAAAATCCTAAACATAAAAAATATCCACAAGATATTCAAATGCTCATGTTTATGTTCTTAAATAGCTGGCTGATATACAAAACCTCAGACTGAAGAATACACTTTTGAAAAAATTAGTAACCTTTTCATTCAATATATATCATAAACCTTACATTTTTTTTTTCCATCTGCTGTACAAAAATTAAATTATATTTAAGCCACAGTGTACTGGTATACATTGCTAATCTGAAAAATGTTACTACTCTACTTTGCCAAAACAATCTGCTAATGTCAAAAAGACACTATTATGCACTGTCTCCAAGGGGCAATCTTGATTTGATGAAAACATTCAGATCATGAATAAGATCCTCAACTTAAAGGAACAGTCCCCCTCACTGCAAGCAATTAAGAGTAATTTACACCCACTGAAAATCTCTCTGAATATTTTGCTTCACTCCATAATTTCTAAAACAACTCATCAAATCTAGTGTTCATTGTTTGTGTGTCACAATGAGCACCAGGAGATAAGGACAAGTTTTCAGTCTCAGAGATATCATCTTGGAAGGCCTCCTTCCCCACATCTGAGATTTCCCCAGCCCCGTAGGGCAATTTGCTAAATGCTCTTGAGATCATCTTTGCACCACCTAACCTTTGCAGCCAAAATGCAAATTCCTGCAGACTTCTGCTCAAACATTGCTACCAGTGTCACAGTGCCAGCTTAATCTATGAACCATATCATTTTTCTGTCAACCTCTTCAACCAAACAGAGGATTTTGTCCTTCAGCATATTTTGTCCTGAGGTGTTTCTAATGTGTAAAATGCTTCAGGAAGAAGTGGAAATCCAAACCCTTTTCCATTACTAGACTTCCCCAGTCTGGATTGCATTACTCTAGTTTGAAATCTCACTGTCAGCCACTCACTGAAGTTGTAACTGAAGAGTTTACCACTCCTATTTTATTGCCTTCTCTTCCCTCATCCTCTCCCCTGCCCTATTATTTTCCTTTCATCAAATTCCTTCGATTTTTGATACCATTGCAAAATTTACTGTGCAAATATGGACCTCACTGACTGAGCAGCCACCACCTGCTAGTAAATCTTGCATTACCTTGGTCAACAATGCAGTCATCCCATGGGTTTTTTTATTTTTTTCTCTACTTTAGTCATTCAGTATAATCAGAGCCAGGGTGTGAAATAATTCCAAGGGTGACTGCTGCCACTGGATCTTGAACCATGATCCCTTAAACAAAGTAGAACCAGCAGGTGAGCCCCCTGACAGCTGGACTGCCCTCACTGAAATATTTATGCTTTGACATTCAATTTTACAATGCCCATTGGACAGGGTATTACATTTTGTGGCAGAGAAAATTCCCCTTTGTTACAAGCCTGCAGCTCCTCCATGTCACACATCCTAAATATTACAGGAGACTTCTTCACAGGCGCATGAACAGGAATGTGATCCTTGAGACAAAGAGGTTTTGAGAAGTTA